GAAGTTCCAGCTGAACCCGAGGAAGAACTTCTTCCCTCTGAGGGTGACGGAGCCCTGGCCCAGGCTGCCCAGAGGGGCTGTGGAGTCTCCTTCTCTGGAGATATTCCAGCCCCGCCTGGCCGCGGTGCTGTGCCCCCTGCTCTGGGTGACCCTGCTTGGGCAGGGGGTTGGGCTGGGTGACCCACAGAGGTCCCTGCCCACCCCGACCATGCTGGGATTCTGTGAAAAACACACACCCCTCAAAACAGTGAGCTGGGGACTAGACTAGTCGGGGACTCTAAACAGCTAGTCAGGGATGCAAGAGGTGGGTGTTGAACTGAGGGTCTCTAAGAGGAGGCTGCCGTTAGGGAGATCTCCCCTGCTCGCAAGCCAGGTTACGTCCAAACAGCTCACGAGGTGACACGGCTGGTGCCCCGCTTAAAGCTCTACCCGTTCTTCCCCTCGGGTGGGAAGGGGGCCGGGAGGACTTCGCAGACATTTCCAGCAGCACAGGCTGTGCCTGGCTGACACAGAAGCAACAGGGCCCTCTCAGCAAGCGGAGGAGAGCGGCGATGTCCTTCGCCGAGAAGGGGGGACGGGGATGTGCTCTGTCATGCAGGAGTCACCAAAAAACCAGACTGAAGTGCTGGAGCTGCACTGTCACAACCCCGCATTGAATTTCAGCCATCTCTGAAAGGTTTCTGTGGGCACCAGCCAGCTCCTACCTGATTAGAGGACATGTTCTCAGCCTTCATTAACGATGAGTAGCTCCTGGAAGGGAAATGACATCATCTCGCGTGATATGTTTTCAAAACCCTCCAACAGAGAGGTGCTTTGATACAGCAGGTCCAAGTACCAGAAAAACAGATTTATTTTTATTTTTCTTTCTGTACTCCAGCAGGCTGGACCAGTATCTGCTTATCTCATACTCTTTGGCTAATTAAAGCAGCCTGAGAAAGCCCAGGGGCGATGCAGACTGTTTCTCCACAGCTTTGCTCAGGAACTACCAGCTAGATCAGCCCAGGAGGCCGAACGCCCTTTACTTTGGGGGCTGGCCAAGAGGCAGATGTGGCGCAAGGTTAAACAAGCAGCCAGGCCCCTCAGTCTGAGGCCCAGACGTGCCCGCTGCTGACTTCTCCTCGGTTTAGTTTGCTTCTCTAAGCTCTCTTTTCTGACCTTTCCATGTGTTGAACCACTCAGGAAATCCCAGGGTTATTAAAATTCCAGTTTTGCTGTCGTTTGCAGATAAACATGATTTACTGAAGCTTCAAAGAGAGCTTTTGGGGCCGGCCAGTGGATACACCCGGTGCTGTACGGGGCCACCACGACTGGGGAAGAAGCTCACCCGTGCTGCGGCACGGACAGAAAGGTCAACACGACGTTTCAAAACGCCATCCCTCGTCCTGCATCAAAAGGAGCGTGGCATTGAGGATTCACACAGGTTTTAATTGCCAGCAGTGCTGCATGAGGAAGCTGAAGATCTCCAGTGAAGGCTCGGCGCTTTCCAAGGCTGGCGCAAAGCTGGAAGCAACCGCTCCCATCCCAAGGGCAGGGAGAGCCGAGCGCCTTGCCCAGTTTCCCCCAATGTCTTTGAAAAGACAGAGTCCTTTCTTTTACTGATGGTTTAACAACCAGGCTTATTTTAGGAGCAACGGGGGGGAAATGCCTTTATTCGAAAGACAAAAGGAAATCACTGGGCCGTGCAGCCGGCCACGCCAGAGCAGGTCAGCTGAACGCTGAGTAACGGCCAGGCCGGCTACTAAAGAGAAACCACTGACCCGTGACTCCCCCCCAGCACCGACGGAAACTGCCGAAGTTAGAAGCCGGCACCACGATTTGCGACTTACCTAAGTTCTTCCAGCTCTTTCTTCTTCTTCATCTCCTCCTTCTCCTTCCGCTTCATCTCTTGGATCTGGGCTTTTTTCTCGTTTCGCTCCTCTCTGTCCCGGGCTTCCTTCTCAGCAGCCAGGTCTGGGAAGCGCTCCACTTTTGTCTTCTCTAGCCGGTTCAGGATCTCATTCACCTTCTTCTCCACCGTCAGCATTTTCACCTTTGGAGTGCAAAGAACTGTGATCCTTATAAGAAAATACTTTCATTCTGGCACTTTCTCAACGGAAAGAAAACACCCTATTTCCACTTTACACATGGCTGAATCCCACAAAAACAGATGCAAGGGAAAATCACCGCCACCGAGGCCGACTCAGCAGGTTGTGTAACAGCAAAAAGAGGCCCCCTCCCAGCACTCAGAAGCACATAGCTGATCAGCACAAGCACTGCTAAGTCCACAAGCGTTACTAATCTCATTTCTTGGAACACGCCTCAACAAAGAGGCCAAGAGACGAGAACCGGTCTCTGCCGACTCCCGAAGAGGTGGCAGGGGGTCTCTGCAGACCGTTTCGGGAAGAGAAGCTCCCGTGCTGCTTGTTGACTGCAGGGTTTTTAGCATTTCTTGCCCTGGTACGGACCTGTTTTAGTCAAACAATCGCATCTCTAGAGAGATTTCTCTCCCAGCAGCCAGGCTACATAACTACTATTTAAGCATAGCATTATCTGCAGACGCTAGGTCAGGCTGGGGAATGGCTTAGTACACAGAATCACAGCATGGTGGGGGTTGGCAGGGACCTCTGAGGGTCACCCAGCCCAACCCCCTGCCCAAGCAGGGTCACCCAGAGCAGGGGGCACAGCACCGCGGCCAGGCAGGGCTGGAATATCTCCAGAGAAGGAGACTC